CAGTGGTTAAGATTTGTACATGATCACGATAAGTCAAATGAGAATCCAAAGTAATCCCAAGATGTTTGTAGGTAGTGACAATATCAAGGGGTTTGTTTAAAAAAGTGAGCTGATTTGTTATATTGAAATGTCTCCTGGGTGAGGAGAAATACATGCACACAGTTTTTTTAACATTAATCGACAAAAGATTATCTTGATGCCAACCACGAAATGTTTGAAGATCTGCTTGTAACTGACTGTTAACAGATTCAATACTGAAATCAGACAAAAAAAGAACAGTATCATCAGCATACATTAAAATATTTGAATACGTCGATATTTTTGGAAGGTCATTTATGTATAATAGGAAAAGCAATGGGCCCAGTATTTAATCTATCTAAACACCTGGAAACTCGCCTCTGTCTCTTTAAGAACTCCTACCATTTCCAACACTCCCACTTCTGCACATTTTCACCACAAAGATTTGGGGGAGGGGTGCTCTGTGGGGCGGGAGCTCTGCTGCAGACTGAGCTCCAGGGAGGAGCTTTGGGTAAATGGGTGGAGCTTTGTACCAGCAAGTGTTTAGGCAGCTCCACATGGCTAACACAGGAGATTCAAGGATTTCTCAAACGTGCATGAAATACTCTAATCAACACTCTGGGTACCTTTTTGATGAGGGAATGACATAATATGAGAAAACTGTAAGAAGTCCATTTTGAATAAACCAGCCTTTAAATATTTTAGTTGGACAAAAAAAATCAAAATAGATCTATTTAGATTTAGAAAACTATACAAGGGGCACCACCTGAAATCTTACCTACAGAGCCAAATTGGCTAGGGCTGGCCCATCACAACTGTGAGGGTGACCACCAAAATGGATATAACATGAGCCTAAGTGGTCAACAAAATGCAAGCTGTGTATATGAAAATAAGTCATGATATTCGAAAAACTGGTTGCACAGATGCAGCTGCATAGCCCACGAGTCATTTGGTTGCAAACATTAAGATTTCAGTGAGACAGCAACAACGATTTTGCCTTTTTTCTCATTTTTCTTGCACCAGTTAGTCTCCAACTGTGGCAGCCCAGCGAGACACTACCCTAATATAGGATTGTACTAACTGCAATAAATTAAAAAGATTTATCCATATTCTGCTGTGTTTCTATCACATGAATCCTCTTTAGGTTTTTTATTTGATGTCTGTAATGAAGCAGTCAGCCCAAGTTATCTGGCTTTTGCAAACTGGTGAAAAAAATAACATTAAAAAACTAAACCCAAAATTGTTCAAGGTAACTCAAAACCTTGCTTTATGTTGCAAACACACTGTTTCTAGCATTTTTTTTAAGGATTTTTGATTATTTGGACTGAACCAGAATAATAAGAACTGATAAACAAAAACTGTCAACTTAAAGACAAAGAATGTTTTCACAATAACYCTCCCTGCTTTTACTCTTATATAAATTTAACTTATTTTTGAAAAAGAAGGTGTTTCTGCACTTCGTATATTGCTTTCTGCCATAAAGCATTTATTAGAATCATCTTCTTTTCTTTGCTTTTTCGTAGCGTCGCCAATGAATGTCCTCCTATATATGAGAGCTTCCTTCCACTGATACAGCATGTTCCTGTCCTCCCACCTATGCAGGCCATCGGAAAAGCAGGCTGAAAATTAACGAGTGCCCCCTCATCCCAGCTCAGAAACACAATAAAAGTCCTCCCACAGAAGTTCCCATCTCCACTGACACCTACATATCACCCATAGCAGAGGAAAGCTCACCTTTCACCATCATTCTTACTGACGTTTCCCACAGAGGCAGGTGACAGTTACTGTAGCTGCATGCAGATTTTACTCAAACAGTCGGATGACTTTTTCTGCAAATGATGACATACATGTTGACACACATCCTGCACTGCTGCATGACTCCCCTAATGATTCAAAAGTAGGTCAAGGACGAACATCGACAAGAGAAATGCACGTCAGGCTTCAAATGCAGAAAAGAAAGAAAAAAGCCCCCCTGAAGTAAATATGATTTATATTTTGAGCCAGAGACAAAGATATGTAAATTTATGGCTAAAAGCTTGATAGTTGAGAGATGGCACTTTTAGAGTCAAACAATATTAATCTTGTTCTGTGAAGCACTACAGTCATAGTGAAAAAGAAAAATTTAGACTCTAATCTGATGGTCYTTAAATGTATTTTATTTGGGGTTTTTTGTAGTATTTTATTAAATAACAGACTGTCTGGGGCTTATGTGCTGTGGAGATATGAGCAGTAGCCACAAAATAGGCCAGCTTGGGTGTCTTAAGTTATATCTGGATCTGTTTGGTGTTTTTTTGCATTTCAATAATGAGGCAAACCCTGGAAGAGACTTTTTTTCCCCTCTACAACACAAGAAATGAGACGGGGGTCTCTGCAATAACAAAGGAGCTTCTTGTTTTGTGGGAGGAGTTTATCCAAAACATGATTGGTCTGTTTGACTTTTGTGGGTGTAGATTGCTAAAGATGTGATTGGTTCGACTGACAATTTTGGGTAGGGTTTGAAGAACCTGGGGATTAACTTGGTTCAAACAGCCAAGAAGCACTTATATTTTTTAATTAGAAATAATAATTTCAGTCATAACTCGAGATAGGAAGGCACTAGCGGCACAAAATTTGAACGCAGTACATGTGGAGAGATGTGTAACAATTCGGCTCAGTCAAAACATCCCTAACCAACCTGTAAAAAGATTGCTAAATACGAATATGACTAAATATTAGTCATAACTTGAGACAGGAAGGTGCTAGCCGCCGTCAATAAATCATATTTACATGCTCACCATAATTCTACCTTCACCTTCCACTTTTAAATCGCTCCACAAGACAAGTCAATCTAAACAATCACGGTTTAGTCCAAGCTCCGCCCACATCAAGAACTCTGACAATCACGTTTGGACAAACTCCGTCCTCACAACAAGAAAATCCCCCTATGTACTGCAGAGACCCTTTACTTCCGAAAAACAGCTGCTGTTCTTTCGGGTTTGAGGCTCCTCACGATCGTTTCATCGAACAACAAAATGTATGAGAATTAGAGCCCCGTCATTAATGTTCTGTTAAGATGTTTTGCTCTTTATCTAGTCCCTTTAATACAAATCATGCACCAAAATGTGCAGCTCAGTCTGAGAAAACATGCTACAACAACAATAGCAAGAAACATCATTTAAAGATTAAACAAGTCACAGAAAGCTGAAATTTAAATGTCTGAACTTGATACCTTTAACAGTTTTTAAACAATAGTTTAAGTTTGGTGATTTTTTTTAACACGCTAACTATTAAGCAATTTAAAATTTCAAAATCTTTTGTTAAAAAAAATCCCTCTTCTTACTCCTAGATGTTTTCTTGGCACTTGTAGGAATCATACATCAAAATAAAAATGTTTTTGTTGTCGTTAACCAATCCAAACCCACCAGGAGACTGCACCAAGCGTCCACAGATTCAGTTATATTTTAGCTCAAATGCTTTTTCTTCAAAACAGGGAGTAAAGTCATCGTATCTCAAGCAGAAAACAACGCAAACATAAAAATTCAAGAGTCTTCTGTCACTCACATCTCAAGAATTTGTCAAATTTGACTTACAGTTCCCCCTTACTTTTCAATATATTTCTGCCTGCCTCTGATTAACTTGGCAGTCAGGGAGTGAGACACAGATATGTGGTTACCATAACGAGCCACTGTCTGCAACGTTAGCGTTTTTTGATTCTGTTTCTTTTACAGCTCATTTCAGATAACTTTTTTTGTTGTTTAGAAAGTTATGTTGGAATTTTGTGCCCCGTTTAAAAGTTTTTACAGACATTTTCTTGTCTCTGGAGAATTATCCCACAATTTATTACTCCCAGCAGATTTTGTGARATTGCACCAGCAGTAGAGCTGCTCCGTTCGCTCCACCTGTCCTCTAATAATGCTTCACTGGACTAAACAAAAAAAAAAGCAAGCAGCGATGGATCCAGTCCACCCTTCTGCAGCTACAACAGTAGCCTCTGCTGCAGATTATTTGGTGTGGATGAGCTGTAGGTGCTGAATGTGGTTAAATACCCACTCTTTAACCAAAAACGCTCGTGTTCAGCAGTATTTTCTGCACCGACTAATCAGGTCCACAACACTCAGGTTCCTATTTTACGGAGGCCTCGTGTCTATTGTTCCATTAGAAGTGTTTGCTGAGCCGTGTGATCTAGGACAGGGCATGAGAGAGGCGATTAATAACTCCTGGCGGGAAGGAGCCGTCTTCTGGGCCAACTTCAAAAAAACTGTGCCACCTCTTTAACTGGGATGGAAGCAGCAGCAACAAATAAGGACAGTCAGGTTAGTTTTCAGTGGGTTTGTGCACGTAACACTCTGGATTCCCCCTCAGACTATAATAAATATGCCTCTGTCACTGTTWTTGTCTTATTTCTATAAGGGCAAAGACCTTATTGCCATGCTTTGTTACCATTTAAACAACTCCTTTATTTACTGTACAYCTTATACCTCTAGAGCAACGCATTTAGGTTTCCACTTTCTTTAAAATAGTCTAATCTACTAGAATAAGATAAAACGCTTTAATTCAAAACTAAGCCTCATGTTTTTCTCTTGCCTTCTTGAAGAGATCTGTTTTCACTCCCTCACATCCTTTTGCTTTGTTCTATTCTGATTGATTTWAAAAAAATGGTAAAGAGTGTGAAATTATTTATTTCCTTCCTACCTTTAAAGAAGACGGTGGTCCTGGGAGTAACATCCAGGTCCAAGGATGAACTAAAAGGAAACGTCCACACCTGGAAAAGACCGTTGAGGAGCATCAGCTCGAACAGGAAGCCCTGAATTGACCTCTGACCTCTCATGTTTAACACGACAATCTATCAGTCGGATCCAAAACCTCATACAGGCGTCAGTGAAGTTTGTATTCTCCAGCTCAAACCCCAGTCGCTCTGCAGGAAAAAGAAAAGAAACTAATGAGCATAACTCCACTTTAAATCATCTTMCAAACATAATCATCTGTGTTATTCAAGTAAAACTAGAGTGTAGTCATCTACTTTAAGGCTTTGATTTATTGATTTATGCCCACTGATTAAAAAAAAACCCAGCAAATATAAACTGTAATGAAGAGATGTCACGCACGAGCTGCAAATTTCCCGCTGATCTGCATCGCCGCTCTTTGATTACAGCCTATTAACCGAGCAGGTCATTACACAAAACACCATTTACCATAAAAAAACTGATAATTAGATAACGAGRCTGTGTGGCGTGACGCCGCAACACAAAAACTTAATCTTTTAATTAGCCGCGTGCGGAGCGGAGCGGCATAATGGATAATCTTGGAGATTAGGCCGTGTGCCATCGYAARGATCTCCGCCTGGCTGCTTGTTCCCAGGTTCTGATCAAAAGGGTCGGAGACCCCYGCCAGTCTTGCTCTGCCGCAGAGCGACGGGGGCGAGTCCTCGGATCGGTAATCGGTTGCYGCGTGTAGCACGGTGAGGCCGGTGACTGTTAGAGGCGTTAATCTGTGAAACTAACAGCTGATGGATGAAAGAGGACCAGGAAGAACCTGCTCCTTTTGGATTCAGCCWGCCAAACACACTAAACTGTGATGCAACATAGAATGACTCTTCAGTATCTATCAGCAGGACTGAGGTTTAGCTGTTTACYTGTTCGTTCAGTTAGACGTAGTGGCCATCTTAAACTGGATCGACCCCATAAGTCAAAGTYGAAATATGCTTTTAAATCCTTCCCTTTTGTTTTAAAATCATTCAGTTGTGGTTTATTTAAAATGGAACTGCAATGCTTTGCAGTGGTGGACAGTAATGGAGTACATTTACTTGAGTACTGTAACTAAGTACATTTTTTGTGTATCTTTACTTTATTGAGTAATTATTTTTTTTGGGTTCTTATGACCTTCACTCCACTACATTTCAAAGACATATATTGTACTTTTGACTCCACTACATTTCTTAGAAACTTGTAGTTACTCGTTACTTTTGGTTCTGCATAGTTTTGTATAGTTTTCTTTCTTGAAATGCAATTGGCCACATGCTATGTTCCTCACAAGGGGAACCAATCACCTCACATCTAGGATAGATTAGGAATTACATCATCTTCATTAACGTCCTGATGCATCTCAGTGATCCAGGTAAAAAATCAAAAGGAAAAAAAATTGTATAGGTCTTCTGGACGGGTTCTTCTTTAATGAAACGTTTCGTCTCTCCTCCAAGAGACTTCTTCAGTCTGAGAGTTTCAGGCAAAATTCAGGCTTTTGAGTCCTGCCTCCAGGTGACTGATACTCACATCACATGGCTATCGTTCACACCTAATTAATACCTATTGTTAACAGGGGGTGGAGAGATACTGCCAGTGGCAGTGCTGTAGGAGGGGGACAGCTGAAAACGGAGGCCCCCACCTCTGTTTAATGATGGACGGTCTTTCTTCACAAAAATGGCTTCTTTTACTCCTCTCTCAAACCAACGTTCCTCTCTATCAAGAATGATAGAAGAGAATGAGAGACGAAACGTTTCGTTAAAGAAGAACCCGTCCAGAGGACCTATACAATTTTTTTCCTTTTCATCTTCATTAACGATCACGAGCTGAGCTCCACCTTCGTTTCAAACAGAACCCAGCAATGGAGACGACTGAAGAGAGTAGAGAAACCAGCCAACATGGCCACATCTCAGCACAGTGTTTGAGATTTTCCCATTAGTTTAAACATCTTATGGGTTCACTGCAGATAAACTACATTTCTGCATTTAAGAGCTCACCGTTCACTTTACTGCATTTTTATGCTGAAATTTTTACAGGTGGTGAATTTGTAGCAGAGTAGTTCTATGTGTCGATACATCAGGTGGTTTCTGAGAGCTACAAGGTTCTGTGAAATCACTCTGAAAACAATATAACAATGGACTGATATTAGAAAATGTAATTTGTACTTTTGAATACTAGAGTACTTTTAAAAMCATGTACTTTTGAATACTTAAGTATTTTCAAAAGCAAGTACTTCAGTACTTTAACTTGAGTAGATTTTTGATGGAGTAACGTTTACTTGTAGGATTTGACCCTGAGTATCAACACTTTTACTCAAGTACTAGAGTTGAGTTCTTTGTCCACCACTGATGCTTTGGTCTGCATTCCTGGTTACAGATTGAGCAGAGAGCCCCCTTGATGTGGGCGGGATCATAATATTAAACATGCCTGATGTTTTTAGGTTTTATTTGTGACAAAACAACAATGGGCTACACCAAACTCAAAGGAAAAGTGCTGAATTTTGAACCGGACCCTTCAGACGTGACGGTATAGGACAGAGAACGATAAGCTATGTTAGCTTCTTTCTGTTGGTAGCTCGCCTTTGTTGTAGTGTAGTTAAACGTGTAAAAAAAAGTTACAGTCACTGCGTGATGTAATCCCCCAGTCATTGAACCAATCAATGAGCAGCCCGACCCATATAGAACCACAGCTCTCAAGGTTCCAGAAATCAGGGTGGACCTGGGCCATAAGGACTAATGCAAAAACCCGTATTTGAACCCTGGATGGGCTGGGCAGGTCGTGCAAAAAACACCTTCTGAGAGCAACTCGTTTTGGTGCTGTCTCTTTAAACGCAAATGAGGCACTTCAAACCCCGCCCCCACTCCAGATCACAGAGCGTTCCACTCCACCTTGTTGTGCTATTTTTTTAGTTTGATATCAGAGATATGATTATCTAGAGGCACAGAAATGTTTTATTTACAAGTTAATTAAAAGATGTCAACAAGAGGAGACTCGCTCATCCAACCTTACATGTTGGAGCCGGAGCCTGACCCAGAGTCAGAGGAGGAGGAAGGCAACAAAACCTGCAGAAATTCGGGTTCATGAAATTTGTTTAGTTGGAAGTCCATGGCTTTGTTTAGCAATTCTGCAACAAATACTGTGACATTATTGTTCAAAATACATAACAGGGAATTGAGAAAATGGGTTGAAAAATATGACCCAAACAGAATATAAAGATAGCGCCGGGAGAGGCTATATTAAACATTTCTGTATGTATTTCATGACTGAAAAAGTAGATTTTGCATATGTCCCTCAGTGATTACTTCATGCACTTTTTATTAAAATTCCTTCTGTCATTCATTAGATATTTTGCTAAAAGACAAACAGATTTGACCTTTGCATATCCCAATATGTTGGGCATGACTCTCGGCTACTACCAGACCAAACTTTAGCTCAGTGGCTGTAAAGTTGGCTATTTTGGAGCCACTTTTTTTTTGTTTTCTAATGTTGTTTAGCGGTGGCGTCCATCTGAAATGACTCCAAAAGATGCTTACTCATCGGAGTTACTTCCTGAGCATTTTATTCAAATTCACCTTCTGATTCATGAGGTATGTTGCTGAGATTTAGTTAGCTGTAATGACAAAGATTTACATTACTTTCAAACATTTCACTAAACCCTTTCAGTAGGCACATCGTCCTCCTGAAAGATAGTTTCCGTTCAGATTGAAACGTCTCGAGGGATGAATTTGATGAGTCGGAGCCACCTCCTGGTGATTGGCATTGATCTATCCGTTTAGGAGGACGAGACTCAGAATATGTCAGCAAAAACGATGGTGGAAAGACTTGTTGTTTTGGTGGTTTTGTCATCTGCTCCACAACAAACAAGCCGATGTTTCAACACATCTGCACGGGGGCATTATGAGATGTGCTGACAACAATGTGTTGCATGATGATACCTCCTGGGTGGCGACGGGGAAGGTAAATACATCTGCCTCAGTAATCACACAAACAATGCATGATGTGAGGAAAGAGGAATTGAACAAAAACAGCATGAGGTGGTCGGGAAACCTCACTTCCTGTTTATTGATTCACACAAWTCTGTTATTGTTGAGCTTTTATTCAGTTATTGTTGGTTAAATCCCAGAAYAGTGATTATTTGAGCTATTTGAACTTTTTAAATGGGTTCACGCTGTGGGCCACCTTCACTGTAACGCAAATATAAATATAAATCAAAATATAAATATTAATAATTTGCCTCCATTCCCATAAAAAATATACAGAAGCCATTGGATAACTGCTTATAATGCAACAAATAAATGACCCAAATGGTTTAAAATACTAAACAATTAGAAAAGCTCACTCTCATTTTTAAATCTTTCACTTTGTTCCATCTTTAACAAGACAGGCTTAAACACTTCACACACTTTCTACAAACGTGCTATTTTAGCCGTTCATGAATCAAAACATTCAGCTCGTTCAAGAGCTGGGTGCGCCTAACTTTCATAATTTTCTAAATATTTAACTATCAACCAATATTGTACCTGTAGAAATATATTTCTTCAGTTCATACAAAACATTGCTCTCTTTCAAATCTGCTTCAGAGAATTTACCCAATTTTCTTTTTGTCTTTTTTGTTTTAACTAGTCTTTTGCTACTTTTAGCTATTAGTCCGCTTGTTGTTATTTGTTGCTAGGCTTTTGCCACTTTTACATATCACTTCCTTTTTGCAGTGGAGGTCACAACCAAGTAGGTATCTGCAGACAAAGTAGGAGTTTTCAAAGGAAGGCGTTTCTCAAGGGTCACATCTCACTGGAGAAGCTTTTTTTCAAGGGACTCCCTAATTGGATGAGCAAAAGGGGGCGTTACTCAAGGGACACACCTGATTGGATGATCTTTACCTGGTATTTCTTTATAACTATATCTATTTTTTTCAACATCAAACTTTAATTAATTTATTTAGTTTCACAAACTTAACTGTTGTCACCGAGGTAATCTGAAGACTTGGAAATAATAATGGCCCGCAGATTATGTTAGCCGACCGTTATTATAGGTTTATATAAAGACGCCGCCAATATCGGACCAGAAGTCTTTATTAATTATTTCTACTTCTCTTAACAAAGAACTCCCGGTTTAATTTCAAAATAAG